AGCTTGGGTGACAGAACAAGATCTTGTCTTAAATAAATTAATAAGACTGACAGAAGAGACTTTTTGTGACAATAAGATACTTAATTATTAATAGGACCTAAGATCATATAGAGCAAATTTAAATCATCTTCAGGCCAGCGATTTGCTTAACATATCCCTTAAGTTACATACTGCAATAGTGCAGCTTATCTGTGATTAACAAACTTCCTTAACTTAAAACATCCCCAGCCTTTAGACAGGCTTCATTTCTTTAACTAATGAAAAATTAAAGAATCTTTGACACCATCTATAACCTGTATCTCTGTGCTTTGATATGTCCTGACTTTGAGGGCCAAACCAATATATGCTTCCATGTTGAGATTTATGATTTTATTCACAATTTATGTCTCCCTAAAATATATACTATAAAACCAAACTAACCTGACCACCTTGAGAGCACTTGGTCAAAACTTCCTGGGCATGGCTTCCTGGCTTATGATCACACATATTTGGCTCAGAATAAACCTCTTTAAATTATTTTTAAAAATGGTTTATGCTGTCCTATAACTTGCTGCCTTTTTGTTTTTTAAACAGAGTCTTGCTTGAAGTCTACACTCTACCCTGGGAAGAGTGTTGTGGTATCATCATAGCTCACTGCAACCTCAAATTCCTGGGCTCAAGTGATCCTTCTGCTTCAGTCTCACAAGTAGCTTGGACTACTACAGGAGCACACTATGATGCCAGGCTAATTTTTTTATTTTTAGTAGAGACAGGGGTCTCACTCTTGCTTGGGTGGGTCTCAAACTCCTGAGCTCAAGTAATCCTCCTGCTTTGGCCTTCCAGAGTGCTAGGATTAGATGCATGAGCCACCACACTCAGCCTATAACTTTCTTTTATTTTTATTTATTTATTATTTTTTAACAATTTAGCATGTCTTTGACACCTTCCCACATCAGTAGGCTAGATTTTCATGATTTTTAAAGACCAAAATAGTAATTTATTTAACACTTTCTTAATCAATGCATATCAAAATCTTTTCTAACTTTTTTATCATTATAAATATAGTATAATGAATAGTCATAATGATTTCAGAAACAGTTTCTTTAATATGAATTCCTAAAATATGAATTATTGGACCACATTTTTATAGCTTTGGTAAAAATTACCACATTTCCTTATGGAAAGTTTATCCCAGTTTACTCTCCCATCAATCACAGTTTGATTTACCTTGGACTCAAACTTGGACTACTTTTTCACCACTCCACGCTTACTAAATATTCTCATTTAAGAAACTATCAGATTGGCCGGGCGCGGTGGCTCACGCCTGTAATCCCAGCACTGTGGGAGGCTGAGGAGGGAGAATCGCTGGGGCTCAGAAGCTCGAGACTGGCCTGAGTGAAAGTGAGACCCCGACTCATGAAAAAAATGGAAAAACCCAGTCCCGCGCCAAGGCGAGCGCCTGTAATCCCAGCGGCTTCCAGAGGCTGAGGCAACCGGATGCCCACAAGCTGGGAGTGGGAGGTTGCAGTGAACTACCAAGCTGCTACACTCTGCTCAGGGGCACAGGGTGGGACTCTGTCTGGACAAAAAAAAAAAAGAAAGAAAGAAACTATCAGATTGGGATAAACATGTACATTACTGTTATTTTAGTTTTTATATTTTTTGATTTTCAGTGATGACTATCTTTTCATACAATTTTTGCTCATTTCTCCTTGTGTTTCTGTTCTTTGCTCACTTTTCATTTGGGGTGTGTACATGTGTGCATGCAATAACCTTTAGTTAGAAATAGGAGGCAAGTTACATAGGTGTAGAGATTGGTTGGTTTGAATAATTTCAATGAGCTTTAGGGCAAAAAGCAGTGGTTCTCAACCTTCCTAAAACCTCCTAATATCATGACCCTTTAATACAGTTCCTCATATTGTGGTGACCCCCAACCACAAGATTATTTTCATTGCTACTTCATAACTGTAATTTTGCTACTGTTATAAATCATAATGTAAATATCTGATATGCAGGATGTATTCTCATTGTTACAAAGGGGTCACGACCTACAGGTTGAGAACCACTGGCATAAAGCCTGTCCCTACCTAAACCTGGGATGATAATGGCTGTGGATTATTAGCTCAGAGTGTAAGAGGCTGATAGAGGAGTTGGGGATGGTCTGGGTTGTGGGATGGTTAGCTTTCATGTGAAAGGCTTATATCTAGGAATTAGCTAACCCTGAGAAGGGCAATCCCTCTGTCATTATAGAGGCCACCAATGCCAAAACATCAGAAAACACAGAAAATAGGAAGGCATGATTAACCCAAAGATGCATGTGGCCAATTAAAAAAATCAGATTTATTTAGCCCTTGATATTGGACCTAGAAATATGTGTTTCACAAAGCCCTTTTAAAATATTTGATTTTTTTTTCTGAGACAGAGTCTCACTTTGTCACACTTGGTAGAGTGCTGTGGCATCATAGCTCACAGCAACCTCAAACTCCTGGGCTTAAATGACTCTCTTGCGCAGCCTCCCAGTAGCTGGGACTACAGGCACCTGCCACAATCCTGGCTATTTTTTATTGCAGTTGTCATTGTTGTTTAGTTTTCCCGGGCCAGGTTTGAACCTGACAGCTTTAGTGTACCTGGCTGGCACCAAAACCACTGTACTATATGGGTGCTGAGCCAATGCCTGGCTATTTTTAGAGACAGGGTCTCACTCTGGCTTATGATGGTCTCGAACCTGTGATCTCAGGCAATCCACCCACTTCAGCCTCCCAAGTGCTAGGATTATAGGTGTGAGCCACTGCACCCAGCCCAAAATATTTGATATTTTAACGTAATGTTGATATGTTACTATAATGCTTTATTATTTTTTATTATATTTAGAATATTTTGGTACTTTAATATCAGTTTATATCAATATTATAATGTGGAAAGTGTAAACAATATGAACTTTATCCTGCATTAACTTCCCACAGAGGAAAAAAATCCAAATAAAATCTCCTCTTCTTTATAAAACTCGAAGTCTCAAAAAGTAAATGCTGCCACAAAATCTCTCTTTTCACTTCATCATACTCTTGGCTTCACCCATAAATCTCACTCTGGTGTTTTGGAGAAATGTGGGTTTTGTCTTTTGATTTTGTAGCCTCAGAAGTATGGAAACCCATCTGTTTTGTCTCTTAACACACAGTCTGGGCTTGGCGCCTATGCTCAGTGGCTAGGGCACCAGCCACATACACTGGAGTTGGTGGGTTCAAACTCAGCCCAGGCCTGCTAAACAACAATGACAACAACAACAACAACAAAAAATAGCCAGGAATTGTGGCAGACTCCTGTACTTCCAGCTACTTGGGAGGCTGAGGCATGAGAATCACTTAAGTCCAAGAATTTGAGGTTGCTGTGAGCTATGATGCCATAGCACTCTACCGAGGGCAACATAGTGAAACTCTGTTTCCAAAAAAAAAATTAACACACGGTCTGGTGGGACTCAATGTACAAAACAGGTTTATTTTCCTAAAATAACAGTGTGATATCACATTTGTTAATGTGGCAAGATAAGTCTTGGGTATCACAGGGTACTTCATAGCTGTTTAATTATCCACTTCCTCCTCTTCTTTTCTAAGATAATCTCTGTTTTATTGGAGATGGTGATGTGTCTAACCCTAACAAATAAATGAACAAACAGCAACAGCAAAAAATAATAACTGTAGAATGAGTATGGTGGTTCACACACTCTGGGAGGCTGAGGCAGGTGGATTGCGTGAGTTCAGGAGTTCAAGACCATCCTGAGCAAGAGTGAGACCTGACAGGGTTGGTGAAAAAAAAATAGTGAGACCCCATTGTAGAGATAAGCACCCCATGGTCAGACATGGCAGTTCACTTCAATGTGCTCCTCCAGGAGAATGACTCTGGGAAAGATTTCTTTAAAGATCGAGCTTCTGCACCTGCCTATAGATAATGCAGAAATATGCAGAAAGACTCTCAAAAAAGAGATCTGGAGAGTCAGGCTGGGGTTGCAGCTAGAAGCTCAAACATATGTCCTAGGGCGTTGGGTTCTGTTCTCTGTCTTCTTCCTTCATTAACATTATAATCTCTAGTTTCGGTTTGGGCCAGCAAGGACAGACAGTCAGTCTCCTTTATGTTTTTACGCTAAACAAAATCAATTGTATATGTGTTCCTCAGCCTTCACACTGAATTGTAATCTTAATGGTAGCTTCCTAATTTTACTTCACTTCTTTGTATCTGTGTTAAATTCTTACCGAATGTTTGAAAGTATATAAGATAATCAGTAAAGTCAGGCCTGGCCACTGATCTGAGCGAGTCTCGACCTCCCTTCAAATCAATCATCCCATCTGCCGTTCCTTTTCCTTGCGTCTCCGATCAGAGGCTCTGAGACCCCATCTCTCCTAAAAATAGAAAAACTAGCTGGGTGTTGTGGTGGGTGCCTGTAGTCTCAGCTACTTGGGAGGCTGAGGCAAAAGGATTGCTAAGCCCAAGAGTTTAAGGTTATTGTGAGCTATGACACTATAGCACTCTACCCAGGGTGACAAGGGTGAGACTCATAGGGGGTGGCTATTAAGATGTGAGTAGAAAAATCTAGGAAAATCTTTCAACATGATAAACCTCTTTTGCTCTTCCTTTTCTTGTCCCTTCTACCTGGGACAGAAGGAGCTAATTGGAGTCCCAACAGTCATTTTGGAAACATTGGGATGAAAGCCTCATTCTATGGATGGTGGAAGTAGGACCTGAAAGAAGCCTCATTTCTAGCCTTGAACTTATTATTATGGAAGGAAAAAATAAACCTCTGTTTTGTTTAAACCAATGTAATTGGGATTTTCTGTTACCTATATCTGAACTAGATTCTCAGAGATACAAATATCTCTTCTAATAAGAGTAAAATTCTCTTCTAAATTCAAGTGTTTTTTCCTTCCCTAAAAATAGCCTGAATGGGTGTAAGAGGGTAGTGCTGAATTGATGTCCCGGGTCAGGTTCCATCCTCATATCTCCAACCTTCCCAGTTATTAGCCTAGTACTCATCAGCACCAAGAAGATCTTGAGCCCCCACTGAAGAATCTTCTCACAGCTTCCTTCATGTCCTTGTTCCTCAAGCTGTAGATGAAGGGGTTTAACATGGGGGTCACCACTGTGTACATGATTGTTGCCACAGTATCCTGAGCTGAGAAGGAGTCTGGAGGTCGTATGTAGATCCCTAAGACAGTTCCATAGAACAGGGTGACCACAGATAGGTGGGAGCTACATGTGGAAAATGCCTTGCGTCTTCCTGTGGCAGATGGCATCTGAAGGACAGCAGCAGTGATGCAGATGTAGGAGACCACAATGAACACACAGGGAGCCAGGAACAGGACCACAGCCCCCAGGAACACACGCTGATTGACATGTGTGTCTGAGCAGGCAATCTTCATGAGAAGGTAAGCATCATAGTAGAAGTGTGAGATCTCCCGGTTGGAGGAGCAAAAGGTCAGTCTGCTCATGAGGAGGGTATGGACCAGGGAGATAAGGCTGGAGCCCAACCACACTAGAGCAGCCAGCCCCCAGCAGAGCCTGGGGGTGATGATAGAGCAATACTGCAGGGGGCTGCAGATGGCAACGTAACGATCCAGTGCCATGGCAGCTAGCAGAAAGGTGTCCAGATTGGCAAAGAAGATGAGGAAGTACATCTGAGTCAGGCACTGGGGATAAGAGATGGTCCATGATCCTGTCACATGGTAGGCCAGGAACTTGGGGATTAGGTTGGTGGTAAAGCAGATATCAACAAAGGAGAGATGGGTGAGGAAGAAGTACATGGGGGTGTGCAGATGAGGGTCAGAGCTGATGGCCAGGATAATGAGTGTGTTCCCAGCCACGGTGATCAGGTACATACACAGGAAGAGCCAGAAGAGCACTTGCTGCTGCCCCAGGTCACTGGTGATGCCAAGCAGGAGAAACTCACATACTCTTGTCTCATTCTCCTTCCCCTTGGACATCTCACGGTGGCTCAGGGAGGCTGGACACATGGCAAGAAAATCAAATTCAAGCAGAGCCAGGACATGCTGTATGTTCAGAATCAGTGGAAAGGTTATTTGTAATCAGATGAATGAACGGTGTTTTCTGTCTATAATAAAAGGCATGTTTTTACTGAGTGCTTATTGAGTGCCATCCTGCTAAGGAGTTTACATGTGCATTTCTTTTAATACCTCTCTCATAAAATAGGGAATTTTATTATCTCCATTTTTCAGATGAAATAACTAAGACTCATAGTAAATACTTTGCTCTCAACCAGACTAAGAGTAAATGGCAAAAGAGACTTTGGACTCAGTGTGGTCTGACTTAGAGCCTGTGGCCTTAACTGTCATGCTATAGAGGACTATCCTGGTTGGTTCTCAGATGTCACGGACTGACGGCGGCATTTCCGAGTCTTCGATCTTGATTCAGCCAGCATGTCCTTATCGTGTAACCCTGAGGTGAAGGCAGTCAGTGAAAATTGGAGATGGACCCTGATTTCAAAGTGCTGACATAAAAGAGGCAGAGACTTGTGTGGGAAGATGTTGGAAAATGTTCCCAAAATGTTACAGTGGGACATGTGACCAGCCTACGTGTAAAGGCTGGGTGGGAGCGGGTTTTACTATCTGGAAACCTGTAGACCAAAGAGTTTAGTTCTATTTATGAGCCCCTCCAAAGCTATTCTGGTTTTTGGCCCCTAGGAAATGTAAGGACGTATTTGGTATTCCCTGCCTGGCCCTCCCCGCTGACCAGCCATTTTACCTTGTAATGCTCCATTTCTGCTCTGGGCTCACTAGTTAGGTATAAAACAAAGACTTTCTATGCAGTGACTTCCAAAGTTGCAAAAAGGTCAGGATTTCACTTACCTTAAAGATTCCATCATGTGATACTTGACAGAACAACTTGACCCTGTCTTGCATAGTTGAGTTTCAAGAGGGCCCAGAATTACCTTGGCCTATTCTGGTCCAAGCCACTAGCATCTCTGACCCAGGATATGTAGAACTCATTTCTACTTGGCCAGGCTACCCTGACTTTTCTCCTCTCAACATCTGGCATCATCTTCTAAGATCACAAAAGAATCCTGATACTCTCCTGCTCAGAACTTCCCAATAGAAGCTCATCACATTTACACTAAAGTCCAGTCCCTCTGACCTCAGGGTGACTGGGCCATTCCTGGCCTGGTTCTTATTTACTTCTCTGACTGTATCTCTTGCCAGCCACTTAGGACATTAAGCCCTTTTGCCCTGAGGCCTTTGCACTGGCTATCTTTTCAACCTAGTGTTTTCTCTGCTTGGACCTTTACCTGGCTGATACTCTTAGCCTCTCTGCCTCTTCATATAGTACCTCCTTGCAAAGGCCTTTCTGTCTGTGTAATTCTAAGTAGTCCCTTCTCCCATAAATGTCACTGATCTTGCTTTTTGTGCTTATACCATATGTTTGTGAGGTTATCTCATGCATTGACTCATTTATGGTGTGTTTTGCCTTCCTGAGAACACAGATCCATCTGTCTTGTTCACTACTGTGTCCCCAGTGACAGAAGCAATACCCAGTATATAGTAAGTATTCAATAAATTAGTCAAATGAAAGAATAAATTCACAAATACATTGCATATCAGAATCTACTGGTATAAAATGTTGACAGAGTGTTTGATGAGAAATGCTTTCTTATAATTAAGAATCATATATAAGAAGTAGAATTGTCACTTAAAAGCATGACATGCAGGGCTTTCTAAGTGAGTGGAATGGAGAGGTGACAGTGTCCAGTCAATGCTAATGTGGGTGAGTCCAAGATCGTGTGTCAATAGGAATTTCCTCAACTAGACCTATGAAGAGCCTGGCTTCTGTGGCCCCCATCTGACCCAGGACCTGTGAGTACTATAGACCAGAGGGGCAAACCGGCTCCTGTGAGCCTGACCTAGCCTGTAGGAATATTTGATTTGGACCCTTAGTGCTTTATAAAACATTCCATATTGGCTGATATTTAAAAAATCAAAGATTCCTTACAAAATCTGGATTTCTGACTACTTTTAACAAAATCACCAGACTTAGTGACATTGGACTCCTGTTCCTATAAGGCTACAATAGGCAGGAAAGAGACAATAACTAACATGACTGAGCACTCACTATGCAAAAAGCAAGCCCTGGGCTTGTAAAGAGATTCTAAGTGTATTCCTTGAGCCTTCATCTGCAGTAGGTTTATAAATGTCCCCATTTTGTGCCAGACAAGAGAGGCACAGCAGAGTTCAGTGACTCCCCCAGAGTAGCAGAGTGATTTAGTCCTTCCCTGGCTGCCCTGTGTCTGTAGATTTTTATCACTGTGTTCTCTGCCTGTTCTGGCCTCTGGAATCACCCCAGAAAAGTCTACTCACTTACCACACATCTTTCTTTCTAGTATCTGCTGGAAGCTGTTGTGATTTCATTAAATTTCTTTATCCCCAGGCAATCTAAACTCTAAAGGATTTTTGAAAACTGGGATGAAGAGTTTGGAAAGTTCAGTAGGTTACAGAAAGTTTACTTGGCTTTAAATGCAGAATTTTTAAATTGCAGAAATTCTACAATTTTAAATAGAAAACCAAATAAAAATATTCACTTGAACCTTTAATCTAAGGCTGTCAACATTCTGCCCTGCCCCTCCCTTCTTCCTGTTCCCCCTCTGTAGGGATCGGTTCTCCAGGCATCAGATAAGTCAGAGTAGTTTATTGACCTACCTTGTTTTGAATGATTTGTATATATATATATATTTTTTTTTTTTTACCAGAATCTTGTATTAGATGTGATTTCTCAAGACAAATTTTTGCCTCATTGTGACAAATGTTAAGGACATAGCTGAATTATTTTATAATGGAAATTACTCAGAATAGATGGATTACTAGAAGTTCTTTGGTATAACTATGTTCTTCAAGGAATTTGTGTTGTAATTATGCTTTTTCAGTGTGGGATTTGTTTTGCATCATAAAAGTCAGTAGAATTGAGACGTGTTGGGAATTCATGAAGAGTTGTCATGGTGCCTAGCTTGTGGGAGAAAACACCATGGGGAATGTGAAACCATAGAATGTGCTTTCAAGTATTTTTTTTTTTTATTAAATGATAGCTGTGTACATTAATGCAATCATGGGGTACAGTGTAGTGTTTTCATATACAATTTGAAATATTTTCATCAAACTAGTTAACATAGACTTTATGACATTTACTTAGTTATTGTGTTAAAACATTTATACTCTACTTTTAGAAAGATTCACTTGTACCCTTGTAAGACAAACCATTGAGGTGATCTTTCCAATCACCCTCCCTCCACCCATCCACCCTTCTCCCCTCCCCTCTTCCTCCCCATATTCTTGGGCTATAATTAGGTTATAAGGTTATAGCTTTCATATGAGAACTATAAATTAGTTTCATAATAGGGATGTGTACATTGGATACTTTTTTTCCATTCTTGTGATACTTTGCAAATCAAAACTACTTTGAGATATCACCTAACTCCAGTAAGATTAGCCCAAATCACAAAATCCCAAAACCAGAGATGCTGTCGTGGATGTGGAGAAAAGGGAACACTTCTACACTGCTGGTGGGAATGCAAACTAATGAGTTCCTTTTGCTTTCAAGTATTTTTGTTTAAAAATTCACATTCCAGCTCAATTCATAATTGCCAAGTTATGGAAGAAGCCCAAATGCCCATCAACCCATGAATGGATTAATAAATTGTGGTATATGTATACCATGGAATACTATGCAGCATTTAAAAAATGGAGACTTTACCTCTTTTTTTTTTTTTTTGCAGTTTTTGGCCAGGGCTGGGTTTGAACCCTCCATCTCCAGCATATGGGGCTGGTGCCCTACTCCTTTGAGCCACAGGCACCGCCCTGGAGACTTTACCTCTTTTATGTTTAAAGGATGGAGCTGGAAAATATTCTTCTTAGTAAGGTATCTCAGGAATGAAAAAAAAAAATCCAATGTACTTAATACTACTGTGAAACCTATTTATAATCACTCACACTTGCATATGAAAAATGAAACACAACTATAGCCTAGGATGAAGGAGAGAAGGGGAGGGAGAAGGGAAGGCAGGGGAGTGGGTCGATAGAGGGAGGGTTAGTAAGGGGACCACACCTATGGAGCACATTACAAGTACAAGTTGGATCTATCAGGTGTAGAACAAAAATGTTGTAATGCTGTAATTGGATAAATGAAGTGAGGGCTATGTTGATTAGTAGGACGTAAGGACTCCAGTTTGTACAAATAACACATTGAAAAAAAACCCACATTCCCTAATGTGTTCTTTAATAGCCTTAAATGAAAACATCAAGTGCCCTTTCAGGCTATGCAGGACTTTGTGCCCTACAGGGCCTTCTCTTCCGTTCCCATCCCATCCTTGGTACTCCCTGCCACTCCAAAGAGTTGAGGCAGAAAAGGCAGGTGACTGTGCTACTGCCAACCCTGCCTTGTCACACTGTTAATCTAGAAATGGATTTGATTTCTGAGCAAATGATTCTTTTCTTTCCTCTGCCACCCACTAAGGGTGCTAGGATGAAGGAGAGGTAAAAGGGAAGACAGAGGACTGGCTGTAGGCCTGCTACACTCTTTATTGGGGACCTTACCAGCCATTATGCCAGAGAGAATGAAGCTTTAAAGGCTAGACCTGCCTCACGCTGAGAAGAGTCATAAGATGGAAGGTGGGTGATGTTAAAGTTGTGAATGGCTAAACTCACATCCAGGTGGTGTCTGTGTTTGAGCAACTCTCCCACTCTGGCTCTCCTGGCCTTACCTGGCTGCCTGTGCTGCTGGTAATTCCTTTCCCAGATTCTTGCACTTGTCCCTTCATTTGCCTCCAGGAGCTGACTAGAGTTGACTGGAGATTCTGTGGGGGCCCCACCCCAGAGGCCATGTGGCAAGGACAATGCAGGGCACATTTCTGCCCACAGGAGAACCCTCATGGAGCATCTCTGAAAGTTTCACCACCCTGCTTCATGGTCACAGTCAGCACTGG